TTTCGTTACGAACTGTCCAGCGTTTATATGTGACCGTGTAAAATGGGATGCAAAATTTATAGGCCTTCGATACTTTATTGAGTGGGTTGCAATAAACATTTCTGTTTTGGCCTCCAACTACCGACCACACGGCGTATGCGCATTGTCCATACATTTGTTTATGGTGGCAGGACTTTGGCGTCATTCAGTCCACAATTGAGTCAACTAAGCCGTAAGCCGAAAGTCAAAAGCAAAAATACATTTGCTGGAAACTGAAGAAATACATTTTAAAATACTCTTTAGCATTGGTGCAATTTAATTGATTATTAATATTTAATTGGGCAGTCAGGGCATAATATTCTTTTGGCTTTTATTGCCACGATGCCTGCTGACTGATGTTTTTTGTGGTTTATTTCATTTAATTACTTTATTTATGAGCCCAAACCATTGGGGCTTGGTTTCTGTGTGTGTCTTTTTGTGGCCACACATTTGTCGACTTGGAAAGCCGCTTAAAATATGAACAGTCACGTTCAAAATAATGTTCGTAATTGGAATCCTTTTAACATTATTTTGAGTGAAAAACTAGAAATGAAAAAAATTGTCATTAAATTGTATTTGGAAAGCTTAAAGGCAAAATAACTTGTTTATAATTAAGTTTCAAAATGTTATGGTACCAATGCTTTTATTTCCACCTCTACTGTTTCCTACAATCCCAATTTGTATATATATAAATGTATTTATTGGCATTTCATTGAATTTCATTTTAATTTACTTTATGTTGTTGCACATTGTTTTGTTCCAATTTGGTTGATTTAAAATCGTATATTTATTTATTATGCCATCAATGGCTACTGGTTTTTTTTGCTTTCGCCCGCCTCGCTTGCCAATTTGATTAAAGTTTATTTTCGGCTTATTTTTTCACAATTGCCCATTGGCAGTGGGCGTTTTATTTGGATTTTTGTGCATTTTAAAATGCAATGCGAATTTGGCGGCAGTCGCTTCATTAGCGCCGCTTAATTGCCTCATTCGAGCTGAACGGTTTTCAAATGATTTCCTTTGTTTTTCCGCCTCAAGCAATTGTCAAATGGAAATGGAAGTTGTAGGGAAGTCGGGAAGGAAGGAAGGAAAACCATTTGCTGTCGTTTTGTAAATCATTTACATGACTTCCCCATCCGCAGTTTTGTTTGCTAATTATCCTTATCGCAATGTGTGTGTGTGTGTGTGTGTGTGCAGAATGCAGGAATTCGAATTCGAATTTGGTGGAATTTCCACTGCCGTTTTGTTGTTACCATTGTTTCGGTCATGTGCAATCCCAGCATGCATGGCTTCAATTAAAGACTCAATAAAATTCAATCGAATGCGCGCTCTTTTTCCCCCGATTGAGCCACTAATTGAGCGTCCATAAAAGTCGATGCGGTTTAACTAGCATTGAGCCAGTGGCTGTCAAACTATTGGCAGACTGGTAAATTGCCAATTTATTTGGGTAACTCTGCGGAAAAAACGTCAGTCACTGGCAATGCACTTTTAAAGGTAATTTAAAGTTGCTTGAAAAGTGTGTTTTAAATTTTAGCTTTAGCTGTAGGTACTCAAAATTTGTTTAAGATTTTGCTTATAAAATGTACATTTAAATAAAAGGCAAACTTGTCAATCTTAATCTTTGTTAAAGTTCTCTTTAACGAACAAGAATGTATTTATTCTACACTATTAAAATATTTTATAAACTTTAAAGTTAAACAAGAATGTATTTATTCTATACTAAAATTAGCAATGTCAATAATCTACCCCAATCATTTCCGATAAGGCCCATTTAAAGTTAAGCTCCGGATTTCAAATTATCAACTCCGAAGATCTCATTTCGGGAAAAACCAACTAAAAACCATGTAGAAACATTAAGAAAAACGTCAAATGAAAACGAAGGAAAGGATAACTGCAGAAAGCAAAACGACAATACAGTACCCCATTTTCGGTATCATTGCACAGAGCAAAATGTTTGGGCAATTAATACAAATGATGCTGATGAGCGGGATGATGGGGGACTTGGGGCCGAAGGAGCTTAGCAAGGATGCGGATGCGGATGGTGCCGCAGTGGGAGTGGAAGTTGCCGAGAGGAGCAGCTAAAAGCCAGGCCAAAATGAAATGAGCAAGGCGAAAGGAGAAAACAGCTGCAATCTCAACTTCACATGCATGAAAAATGCAGCTCATCTTCTTAATGCGCGCGACGTGCCAGTGAAGCAGTTAGGCGGCAGACGGGGATCGCGGATGGAGGGCAACAAACGAGGGGATTTCAGCAATGAAAGCTGCTTACTCACACTCATCTTACCCCATCCCATACAATCCCATCCCCCCGAAAACCCTCTCCCCTGACTTGTTTGTTTGGCTGGATTTTGCCATAGCTGTTGCTGAACATGCTCTTTTGGCTGTCTTGGCAAATTACCGTCAATGAATATTATACACTTCCAAGAACTACTTAAGAATTTTACACAGTTTTAATATTATTTTTTCTTTAGTTACTATAAATTAAGGTGTAACATGTAAAGTATAACGCTTTAATGTATAGTGTACACTTTAAAAAGTACTTAAGAAATATACATAGTTTAAATATTATTAATAGTTGAAATATATTATATTTCTTAACATAACTTTGAATTTTGTAATATAAATATGGGCTTTACAATTTGGCATACTTGTATATAATTAATAAATATAAATAGATAAACCAATTTTGTATCGAAGTTAAAATACTTCGTTGGTTAAAAATAAAATATTGGAAGGATTTTTTTTTTCAGAAAAACTGTCTTTTCATTTAATTCTTAGTTTTTGTGATGGTTGCATGAATGTATTGGCAATTTAATTATCAACCTTATTAGGCTTAGATAATTAATATAAAAAGGCAAATTTTTTTGTTCTCTGTATTGAAGCTAAGTTTGTGTTGGTAAACCAACGAGAGTTTTGGTGTAAGTGTGTGTGGATTAACGCTTTATAAATTGTTAATTATAATGAGTCCAGCAGCGAACAAAACTACGAGGGTAACAATAGCGACATGATTTACATGAGAGCTTAACGTTTTATGCGGGCAGAAATTCAGCACGAAAAACTGGAGCATGCATAGGGGTTTTAGGTTGTGATGAAAAGGGAAAGGGAAGAAGTCCAGCAGTAACTATGGGTTAGGTTGCTTACCCTCTCCTCTTTATGGCCAGAGGATGCCTTCTGTGGGCGCTACTCATCCGACTGACATTTCATTTTTACACATCAACAGCTGGCGACAAGCGCACGTTCCACAGGGCGTATGGGCGATACCACATGGCGTATGGATAATGCCCACAGCCGCACAGTTATGGCATTAGAATTACAGCAAAAACAATGACAACTATAATGGAGGGTTTGTTAAGTGGAGGTTGTTTTATTTGGCGGGGTAATTTATATGCAGCTCGAGAGCTGATGATGCAGCTTACAACTAAAAATGTTACTTCATTTATAATGCAATGCAGAAAATGTTGCACGCTCACACATTGTCTCTGCTTCTTCTTCCACCAGCTTAGCAGCGAGAAAGACAGGGATAAAAGGCAAAAAGAGATGGTGATAAAAGGAGGAAAGAGACAGGGATAAGCGGATGAGGGAGAGAGAGAGAGACAGGCAGGCAGACGACACACATACGCATTACAGACACGTGCTTAAGCAGAGGATGATGATAGATTTGCTAACAATTGCTGCGCTCAAGCCGACTCCTTCTCCATCTTCCAAGTTCCTTATCTTGTCCAATGCCGAACAATGGAAGTGGGCCATTATTAACAGCGACCTGGAAATGTCCTAACAATAGGGAAGGATTAGGAAACCAATAAAATGAACAGTAGGCTGAAAATGTCATAAGTGAAGCGTTTTGATAAAAGAAAGAACTCTACTACTGGATACCTCGCCTAAATTTAATTGGTTTATTTTATAAGCTTATTTTTATTTTAATAAAATCATAAATATATTCTACACAAAGTAGATATGATATTTTCAAAATAAATAAATATTTGATATTGTTTTAACATATAATTATAATTGATTTAAAGCTTTATGGTTATATACTTTATACACTTACTTTATACACTGTAAATTGTGCTAAATAATTTGTAAGTAAAATGGTTCCAAAAACTCTCAATTAAACAAAGGAAATTCAGGATATATTAACACTTAAATTAACATTTCTTAAGCCCTTTTCAATTCTAAGAGATGCTATTTTAAATAAATTTAAAGCTGCATAAAATAAGCCATATACCCAATAATTTTTTTTTTGCCACAGTATTTGTAAATTACTTCAACATATTGCCAGACTTTGTTGTTGCCGCTGCTTGGCCCTCAGGCCCATCTTTCTGCTTATGTCTATCCCAATCTTTCCCAGACTTTCGCTGCCCCATGTATGTCTTGCTACTTTGTGATAAATTTGGCACCATTAAATGTTGCTGCAACACCCACGTGATCAGCTAACCTTCTTCCCCGCTGGAGATAATTTTTCAAGTGGCATGAAATCCATGTTACAGCCTCCTGAGAAATCCAAGTCCAAGTGGAAATCTTAACAAGTAGGAAAGTTGCAGATCTCTCAATATGGTCAGGCAATGGAACAATCAATCATTTGTTTATTATTTGTAAATGGCGAAAAATACGCTTTTGTTGAATATAAATATACAAGTTGTCAAAATAAATTGATTAAAGATTTTTTATGATTTTATTAAAACAACATTTATTTAACAAACAGCACTAGATAAATTCCAAAATAAAATAACATAAGTCCATAAAAATTTGTCCTCTTGATTGGTTTCAACTTTCAGAGTCAGAGGATTTTACAATTTTAAGTATAGTCACAGATTAAATTATCTCATTTTATCATAGATTAACTATGCGCTTGGCGTTTCGATTTTTATTTGGCTTTGGTAGAACCATATATACTAAGAATTTGGTTAGACAACAATGTATGTTTAGCCAATTCGATTCTAAGTAGAGAGACAATCTAAGAGGAAATCAGCCAAAGTAACGTCCACTATTTTTTATGCTTTTTATTAATGGCCAAGAATCCGCTTTGTTGTGTATAAACAAATAAGTATTTTAAGTAATTATTTAAAGACTATTGAAGAAGACATGGATGTATGAGGATGTATTTGGGGGTAATGGGTATATGCTTTTTTTGCTGGCTCAATTGGCTCATTGTCTTTGACATGCTGAGGATGTCAATGTTTTGGTTTGGTCGCTGCAAGAGCAACTAATTGGGATTCAGCTTCACTTCGGCTGTGGCCGCGTTGAGGCGCGATTTGGTGGGCAGATTGCGCTCCTTCTTCTCCACGAAGATCTGGTAGTGACCCTCGCCGTAGCCAAAGCCGTGCATGCTCTCGTGGATGGCAGCCGGGATGATTTTGAAGCCGCCGCGGCGCTTCTGAGGGATCTCCCTGGCCGGCAATTGGTCCTTCTCCTCCACGCCTCGGTTCTCGATGATGCAGAAGAGCTGGAGGCACTTCTTCATCACGTAGATCATCAGCAGGATGATCAGGTTGGTGGCAAACAGATGTTTGCGCGGCGCTAGGAATAACATCCTGAGGCACTTGGCACTGGGTCTAACTATCACAGACACAAACAACTCAAACACACACTCTCTCGACGGACTATTTGGATTTTTTGGGCTGACTATCGCTGTGGAACGACATCGACGGAATGAATGATCCTCAGCCAGCCAATACTATATATACCCAAAATGTCTCTACCTAAGTAGTACCTTACTGATAAATAGGTAGGTAAATCCCTAGGTACCGCTGGTTTTCCTTGGGTTTCTGGTTTTCTGACTGTACCTTTTTTTCTTTGGTAGTTACCAGGTAATCGTAGTCCTTTAGATTAGGTAATCAGCCAAAACGACAGCAGCAGCAGCGACCAAATGCGTTTATGATTTTGCGGAAAATGTACCCACTCAAAATCGACCTTATCGACAGGCAGCAAACAGACGGTCCATCATCAGTGGTAAATTCATGAGTGGCCGTAAATACAGCATTAAGTTTCCCTCCACAGAACGGCAAGTCTGAGCAAGTTGTCAATAAAGGTTTCTCTTAGACACAGGGAGAAATGTTCAACCAAAAATGGAGTCCAAAATTCATAGGGTACATTTTGCAAAAACAAAATTGATTTGTAAACTGTCAATCCTGACCAATCTCTTTAAACGTCAAGAATAAGGGTTTAATTTATTTTTAATTTAATTTGGGTATAAATTAATTAATTTAGACCTAATTTTTGCAAAATAATTGATATAAAAATGGAGTCAAAAAATTATGGAGTACATTTTTTAAAAGCAATCTCTTTAAACTCCAAGAAAAACTATTGTATTTATTGGTAATTTAATATGCCTATACTGTCTAGTCTCTTTGATTTCATATGATAGAAAACTATTTGTTTATGGTTTGCTAAATAATTTATAAAAAATTAAGTCCTTATATTAAATTAATCAAGTTAAACTTCAAGAACAAGTATTTTTGTATTTTTATTTCAAATGCTTTTGTAAAGTTAAAAACTTTTTAAGGATATTCTTGTAGTTTGTCATATAACTTCAATAAACGGTTATAAGTTCTTAAATGATTTAGAGTCAGTATTCTTATGGCATTTCAATAAGTTTCATTTCGCTTAATTACTATTGAATCGACAACTTTATTAAAACAAAGCCAATAAGTTTTAATTTTGTTTTTTAAACTGACGCATTTAGTCAGATCATTGCTTTTCATCTTTCCGTCATTGAATATTTTATTAGCCTAACTCTAGCCATATCATCTTTATTTTTCCACAACCAAGAGCTCAAGCTCAAGATCTCTTAGCAAGCCTCTTTTGAAAATATCCACTAGACAAGCTTAGGAGATATATGTTATCCCCCGAATCCCCGCAACAATTTCGTCTAGTGCACATATAGCCTGCGTCCTGGCCCATTGATGCATCTGCAGTAAACTGAATTTCCCCCGGCATTGTCGCCGTCCTGCTCGGCAAAAAAAAGTGGCATAAATTCGAAAATTGAATATAAATAAATTTCCTGCCAGGCAATCGCACCAAAAAAGGGGAATAAATATGCTCGAAGGAGACGGCGTACACATAGTACACTCACTTTGCAGATATAGATATATGCACTAGATAGCACGTGCCACGCCCAGTCAATTGAATTTGAATGTGGGCCAGAAGGCCGGCGAGGGCATAAAAATGGCTAAAATATGTTGGCCAGGAAGAAAACGGATGCAGGCGAAAAAGCTGGCAGGCAGAGCAAAACCTTGATTTAATCAATAGTCCAAGTACCGCACACTCATTAGGAAACGAAAGTTTTCTTTTTTTTGCGCTTTTTCACCTGTTTAAAATGCGGTCTGCTTCTGTCACAAAAAAAAAAATACGAAAAAGATAGGGGCATTCTCCTAAGGAAAAGTTGGCCAAAGTTTTTAGAGAAGACCTCGGTGGAAACAACCTCATTGGCCGCGACGGCGACTTTTTGCTTGCTGGCTTCAATTTTACCCTCACACAGTGCATCCCAAAAGTTCAGCACCAGCTGTGTTCGGCCCCAGCAATTTGCCTTCATTTGTTGACTTAATCATTTGATTGCATTTTTCTGCACGCGCTGATTGAATTTTGCAACGCAACCGCAACCAAAATGGGAAAAAGCCAGCGTGGCCAAGGCGAAAGTTTTGGGCGTGTCCCTCGGTTGCGCAACTCTGCTGGGAAATCAAGCTAATTAGTTTAATTGATAGTTGTGACTTGGATCGGGGCGATTTGGTTTTGCAATTTCACTTTGCTCCACCGAAACACGCAAACAAATTTGCAAAAGTTTTGGCAGAAGGAAGAACCAAATGGCTGGACAATTGCAGACAGATGGCGATATGATTTGGTTAGCGAAAATCTCTTTAATAATTGTCCATTAAATTACTTGAGCGTTGAAGTATTCACAGTGCAAACATTGAAAAAAAAATACAATATATCGACGGCATCACATATATATCAATCCCTGAGATAAGCCCCAATTATTTTGTATACACAAATTTAGTTTATAATATATATGTACATTTTTCTTGCTTTTAAAATTAAAATAATATATATTTATACTGCTTTAAATTCATACAATTTCAAAATTTCATTTTATTTTCACTTCTTAAAATTCGTATTTATTTTAAAAATATAGTATTGTAATTTAATATTCTTGTAAAACTTTTTACAATTTGTATTGGTTTTTAAATCAACCAGCATCAGTAAACTTTAAGCAATTTAATAAGTTTGAAACAAAATAATTAAAAAGCCAACAAATTTTAACTTTTACTAATTTTGTTTATCTTTTACAGCAAAAAATGTAATCAGTGCATTTCTAATCATTATTCCGTCTTCGAATACTAATAAATTACATTTCGAGCGGAGCACTTAAAGAGTATGGTATGTCTTATGCTTGAATATGTTAACATATATCTCTGAGATTAGCCCAAACTTTGATATATTTTATAGACATCTTATATGCCTAAGCAGGCTTTTATATTTATTTCCCAACATAAATTTACGGCCACCTAATCTAAGCCGCATTTAGCCATATATTTCATATTTCTTTTGCTCCCGGAGCAAACCAGAAATCAATTGAAAATAAATATTTCGCCTCGATATTTATATGTGCCGCATGTGCTGGCATTGAAAATGAGTTTTGCTCGGAAGGAGCCCAATAAAGGAGCTCGGCCATTCGCCGGTGTTACATGCACATGAGGTGCTTTCCGATGGTACGTGCCTGGCCAGACTTTTCATAAATATTTATGGAAGCGCCACAGATCTGCATCCAAACCATTGTTCTAAATGATTCTTCGCGATGAACATATAAAATACACAAAATAAAATCAACAAAAAGCGTGGCTTTAACCTGCGCCTGTTGGCTGTTTCCCAGTTAACCGGGGCCAAGTCAGTCGACAATAAATTATGCATTAAAAAGTTCAACTTGCTCTTGATTGTGTTGGGGCATCAACGGCGAGGTCCCTGCTCCTTCAACCTAATGATGCTTTTCGCGGAGTTTTTACACTAAAACAAATAAAAACTTACTTAAATGATATGAAAGTGATTTAAATTTTTACATAAAATGCCTTTTTGTTTAATTTATTTTAAGGATAGGTAGAGGTGTGTTAAAAAAATATTTTACTCCTTCAAATAAAGTTTGTATAGAACTTTTCCTAAGTGTAACATTCTTCTTTCCCCATCTGGGCTACTTGTCGTCAAAGTTTGCTGCCCGAGGAGCCTCGTCCGGGATGGCCATTTTAAGGACATTATACTGCAGTCGCACTAGCAGTCTTCACGCTGCCAGAAAAGCAGCCAGCCAAATTTATTCTAATGCGATTTGCATTTATCTCGCTTGGCGTAATCCTTGCTTCCTCCTCGACAGTAAAAATCAAGTTTAAATTCTATTGAAATTGCCATTTTCATTCGGTTAGACAACACTCAGCAGAACGGGCTTGGGCTAGAGCTAGTTTATGGCCTTTTCAACTGACCATAATGCTAAAAACTGTCTGTTTACTTAGCTGAAGGATTGACACAACCAGCAGAGAGGAGAAGTGAGACCATTAGCCAAAGGTACATAGCAACAAAACTGGCAGAAGGCAGAAGGAAGAATCTGGATGAGTCGGAGGACGAGAACGAGGTGCATCTGCATCTGCATCCATCAGACCAAACAATTTCCGTCAAATTTCCATGCGCCGACAAAAGCTTTTCACTTGAGTGCCAGACAAAAGGGCAGACCAGAAAACAGCAGCTATGAAAACTGGATGCCAGATGAGCTGCCAGTGAACGAAGTTTTTGTTCCCTGTTTACAGCCAATTAGTAGGATTTAATCTGCACTAATTGTGTAGATATTCTGCAGATTTAGCATGTAACTAAAGGTAGGTAAATGAACATCTTGAATAACCCCGTTCAGTAAATAGCCAAACACAAAGTAAAGGGTATTTCCAGTTTCGACAGAATACCTCGTTTGCCTTTTTCTCCTTGGCAGGCATATTCTCAGTGCCATTACTTTGCATTTTGCACCTAGCAACAATATTAGGGCGAAACATGTCGCTAATGGGCGTGGCAGGCAGCGCGTCAACGCCTTTACTTTGGCATAAATCCAGAGAATACCAAGTGTATATCTGTGGCCAAGCGAGGCGTGCAGATGATTCTGTAACGAACGCTGTCACCGCACTTCTCGTTCTCATTCCCATTTCGCTTAGTAAACGACGACCTGATTTGGTCAGCTCTTATTTACATTAATCAAAAATATATAAATTTGAGGATAAGTAAATAAAAAGGATGGGGTACAATTTGACCCTATGAATTAAATAACAAGCACAAATTCAAATCCAAATTATAAATTAACAGTTATTACATTACAAGCCCATTTTATATTTTTATTGGTGATTACTAAACAGGTCATTAACATAAATAAATAAAAACAGTTAAAAGAAATAGAGAAATTACATTAAGATCTTATTAAAGGCCAATTTAAATTCCATTGATATACGTGTGAATTATGATTTATTATGCAAACAAAATCTATTTTAAGCAATTTAAAGTAGATTGATATACGGATGGCAACAAAATTGTGTGCTCACTTTTGTAAAGAGTAGATTTTAAAGGTTATATATACTAGATGTATTCAAAGTACTATTTTCTTTAGATTTCAACTTAAATA